TTTATTTATCAATAAACAACAACAACCAACACTTTTAATAATACAGATGTTTTTATTTTATTTTATTTTATTGAATAACAAATACTTCCGCTATGGGTAACCCGTCCTTCTGGTCTGCGGTTAGTAGCGGAAGCGAACAGAACAATAATACGACTGGTAACCCGTCCTTCTGGTCTGCAGTTATCAGAGGTAAACAGAACAATAACAACACGACTGGTTCCCCGTTCCTCCCAGGTCACGTGATCCAAGTCGTCTTGAAAATACAAAAAAACAACAAATACTCAATACTACGCAAAAAACAGGGGTTCTACCGCGCTGCAAAACCCCTTTGATGTTATGTAATATGCTCTCCCAGAGTATTACACAACAAAAAACGATCGGCAAAGGTTTCCCCCGAATCCTTTACCGCGGGAAATTCTGTTGAAGCGAACCTCAAGCGAACGCCTCAACTCACAAAATGAGCCCTAAATTGCAAATCACCACGCAAATTAGTGCTCGCAGCGCCAATGTTGTGATCCCGAGTAAATATATGAACTTACCCAAGACGTTTCTTGGCGTTAATCACTTGGATGGCTTTCTGGTAGAATTTCGTTACTGTCGTCTTGACTTTGGTTTACCGGAAAGAGAGAGAAGGCATCATGGGATCGGGCAACTTCCGGCAGGGTCTGGCTTATTACCAACGAATACCACAGAAGCATAAAAACATGTACAATTAACCTTTATGCGAACAAATTGTTCATTCGAGATAGGTATTGGCATATTGGCATTTTTATTTAAGGGGCTTATATAATCCTATTGCAATGGCTGCCGTCATGATAAGGCAAAATGGCCGCTATGCAAATTGCAAATTACCCCAAATTTTGCCATATGATTAATGTCAAATTAAACCAATTATAAAAGATTCATGAAACTAATTAAGACTTATTAAATATATATATTAAAATATACATATCCAATATGATTGTTTTGGCACATATTTCAACCCTGCACATTTCGAATGTTGCCAGTCGAAACAACAATCACAGGCCAAAGAGTCCTGATCATGTAGGTTTTTTTTGACATTTGATACATATCCATTTGCATGATTCTCTCTTCTTTCGTCTTCCCCACGTGTATATCACTCTCTTCCATTTTAAGAATATTTATTTACTGAGAAAAACTGTTCACTTACCTATATATAAATATTTATAAAAATTCTAAGTAGTTTTAATCAATTTATTCACTAATTGCGACAAATTCCGTATATATTTCACGTTTCATTCCCGATCCGATGGCATTTTATTATAAAACTGGATGTGGGTACGCGTAGCCTATGAAAAAATCAAAACATGGCCGAAAAAAACCCACCGACCTAACCATCCTATTTTGAAGTTACCCTCATCCTGAGTTAGAAATTGTAGGTGTTTCATTTCTGCTTGTCTGGTAATTCGAGAAATCTCTAGATACATTTTGGTTAGAATGATAGCAAATTATTTAGTTAGCTCCCCCTAATTGTTTATTTCTAGTGCATTTCAACCAAATTATATCTTGAATTACCAGAACAGGAAAAGGAAACGAATGTTATATTCGTGCACCTTTATAAATTTTGAACATATATTAATGTCAACTAGAGTGGGTTTTTGTTCGTCATGTTTTCACCACTGCCTGATTCTTAGGCAGATTGGCATTTAATGTAGATTTAAACATTTTACGTCTGCAACGTTAACTGCAGAGAAAATTTGCTTTTTTCATCACCTTAAATTTTCAAATGGTCATTGCTTAATATGTAGTATTATACACAGAGAACAAAAGTGTTTTACCACTAACAATAGTCCATATACACATTTAAAAAAAACTTATCCTTAAGTAATTTCTGATTTAAAGGAATTGTTTACCAGTAAATATAGAATAACTGCAGATAATAGCAATGATTTTCAAATATTTGTATGATACTTTTAAATAAAGTACTCTTGAAGGATATATTTTAATAAATGCACGCAAAATTTATGGGTGCATTTCATGTAAAGGGATCAATAACAATAATGACTTCTCAACAATGATACGTCAAAACAAATATAAAACAAATTTCAAAACCTTAACACAATTATGAGTTTAAAAATAAAACAAAGTCATCAAGATTGTACATTAAATAAATTTTTGACATTTATTTTAACATGTGGTTTTACATGAAATATATGGGGGTTTACAGAATAGAGAATAATGGACCAAAACTATACAAAAACGCGCCAACAAAATAAAACATATAGAAATAAATAGGTAAACAAAAATAGAGAATAATGGGGTGCTAAAACATAGAGAATAGAGAATAAGGTACAAAAAGTATAAAGAATAGAGAAAAGTTACCTAAAAAATTAAAGAATACAGAAATGAAGGACCCCCATCCAGCCCCTTATATTCAGCAGACTTTTTAAGTGTAAAACATTTCTGACTTCTGACTGATGTAGTTGTGCATGAAATATTGATAGTCTGTATTTGTCATAATCCAATGTCTTAATTCATTGGCTAAATAACCGAGCACTAAGAACGGCGTGTGTTGGAGGGAAAAAACATAATATAAAAAAAAAAAAAAAAAAAAAAACACAAATGGTGATACCCTTTCTCTTTCCAGATGCCTTGTTTGATTTTCTTCTGACATGTTTTTTTTTAAATCAACGTTCTCTTATTTTTCTTTCTAGATTGGAAGCAAACTGCTTACTCACTAACCTTCTGAAACATTTTTTTAAAGAAATTTAGAATCAAACAATTTACTTAAACAAACACGCTCCCGTCTAACACGTAATATTGAAAGCCTTTCGTTTTCTTAACATTTTACTTTCAGCAATTTTATATTTGTACAATTTTCTTTGTGTAATGTAAGGCAGTGGGAGTATAGAAAAAACACGATTAAATATAGAACTGAACTTACACAAAAGAGAGAAGGGATACCATAGGAATATTAAAACTAATGAGTAAAAAACAAACTGACAATGCCATGGCAAAAAACGAAAAACGATTAAAAGACAAACAGCGATATATAAACCCAACATAGAAAACTAAAGACTTGGCAACACTAACCGCATAAGAAAAACCGTGGGTGATCTCCGGTACCCCGAAAGGGTAAGCAGATCCTGCTCCACGTGTGGCATCCATAAGAAAGGTATATGTATACCGATATATTTTAAACTTTGATGGTTGGACAATCTATAGAGTGGATACGTGCTGTAGTTGACGGAGTTGTTTTGTAGAATACACTATGTAAAAGAAAAATGTTGAGTCTTAAGTTCCAATGAATATGTCTGTGAATTATCAATGTTTAGTGCTTGATAGTAGATCAAGATGGAATACACTGACTTCAAAAGATTTGGCTACGATACAAATGTATTCAACATGAGGTTTATCAAAATTATCCAACTGATCAGAACTATTTAAACATATATATTGAGATACACTAGTTTTGACGGTTCTGAGTCGTACCTGTATGACCATGAGGCTGTATCAAATGAAAAGAAATTAAATTTAAAAAAAGTTTATTTATGTTAAATCCATTCGTAGTAGTAAACATAGCAATTAGTCAAGCTACGCCTACTCGAATTATTTGAACTGATCATGTCGTGATTTATGCTGATACAGCATATGATATTTTTTTTGCATGGGTGATGGTGTGAATAAAAGTATATAGTATATAAATCAATTCAATTTTCATTATATATATTCAAAACACTGTAAAATATTTAACAGTTGGCTTTTGATCACATTTTTAAGTTGTTCATAGGTCTTTGATTTTTGGACACTGTATGCTTAAGGAACAACCAATTAACTTCAAAAGGAAGGGTATGTGCTTTTATTTATTAGTTTAAAAGTTGTTTTTCAACAGATGGTCACATTCTAAATTTTTTTCTCAACAGCAATCAAGCCAAATCATTGTTTTATAGCAAGTCGAACCAGAATTATTTTTTCAAGGAACAGAAAGTAAAAGGTGTAATCCCAAATATTTCCCCCATAGTTTGATAAAACCAAATATTTGTTTTGGCCAGTGCTGCAGCAGATTATTCATTTTTCTTCCCCATGAAATCAAATTTTTTTCTTTTTTTTTCTTTAAAAACAACACCCTTTTAATTTAAATATTGATGTTTTTTTTCATATTTGTGCTTATATTTTATATAACAAGAAAAAAACATACTGTAATACAAATTGCTGATAATAAGAATAATTTCAATTTATTTTTTGATGCTGACTTCAGCGGTTCAAATATAACAGAAAGCAAAAAAAAAAAAAAAAAAGAATACTGTTAATCCAAATTGCCGATGATAAGAATAATGGCAATTCATTTCTGACCATATAAAGAAATGAGAGAATTTCAAATTACTTTTGATATTCATGTTGATTAAGTCGATTTCAGTATAAAAATCAAACATGCTTTTATTCTATATGTGGCCGAAACTTTGTTTACCCTAGGACCGACATATCCTGATCAAGAAAAAAAAAGGAAATGTTTAAATCTAAAAAAAAAATATATTTTAACCCGCCTTATTTTTATTTGCGTGTTCCATGTCAGGCGCATCGTCAGGAGTTGTCGTATGTCTTATCTTGATAAGATTTGGTAACCCTTCCGGAGCACATGAGATCGCCACCAGTTTTTGGTGGGGTTCGTGTTGCTCAATCTTTAGTTTTCCATATGTTGTGTTTTGTGTGCTGTTGTTTGTCTGTTTGTCTTCTTTTTTAGCCATGGCGTTGTCAGTTTATTTTCGACTTATGAGTTTGAATGTCCTTTTGGTATCTTTCGCCTCTCATTTGATGCGTTTCTTTATTTGGAAAATTTGGTTTTAATGGCAGATCTTAGTGTGTTTCTGTTATTCTATTCCAATCTTTCTAGACCATAAAGCTATTCATATTACCTATACATTGTTAAAGGTTTTATTACTGGTTAGATATCTTTTGATTATTTAGTACTGTGACGATTACGCGAAATCTTCTTTTGATTATATTGCCTTTTTTTCTATTTTAGTTACAAGGACGTTGGCATGGAGATACTAGGTTTGACAGACATACCTGTGCCGATCCTTGTGCTTACTTTGTTGTTTTTCTCACTTTATTTGTAAGTATATATTTTATTCTGTTATAATGTAGGGTTATTGCACCAATAGTGACGAAACGTGTCCCGAGCAGTATATCATATTGCACTAGCTTATGATTAGAGAGATTGCCGAGTAGTTACGATTGATGTCTGGAATAACATTAATCAAATGATGCTTAAGTCGAGACGAAAACTTTAAAATTTACCAAAGATCTCCCATTATGAGATCCGTGCGTGGTTGAATTGTTTCGCTGGAATCCCGCATCGTGTTGAACTAAACGCACATATCCTTTTATTCACATTCAAGCTCAACCAATGTATAAGTCACAATAACTTAATTAGTGTTATCAAATTTTGTATAATAATACCTTTAGGGGTATTGGTTAATGTTTTACACTACTACTTATAGGTTAGACAATACTTGGTCATGTTTTATGAATTGTAAAGCCCGAGGCGTAGCCGAGGGTTTTAAATGTTCATTAAACATGACCAAGTATTGTCTGACCAATTTAGAACATATTCACACCTTCGATTGACATAACACAATTAGCCTCTCATTGTTATAATCAAATTTTGATATCAACTCACTTGAAATGTTAACATGGTTAGTAAAAGGGATGTAAAACATTTTAATTAATGGAATGAAAGAGCAATGGGATAGTTTTGTGATAACAAAAAAGGATAAATTATTCCAAAATGGAGATGTCTTCTGCTTCAGGTACAATTTAATCTTATATATCGAGAATTCCTTTATTTAAAAACGCACACAATGTTATATAAATCAGCTTTTCTAAAATTGTATAATTTTTAATTATGAAAAAAAAAATTTAATCAATGAATTTTCATTTACAATCGTTTCAACATCAGATGCTTGTTTTTTTTATTGATGAATACATTGGGTTTTTTTTTCAAAAACTTTCTTTTATTTTTTATCAACAATCATTTATTCTCAAAACATTGATTTTAAGGTCTCGTATAAAATCAGATCATGGAAGTAATATTGAAAGGAATAACTACAACGCCAGTTCAAAGGTTTCATCTGCGTTACCGCCCATCTTTCGATAACTCGTTAATTGGTTTAATATATGGCATGGTAATTGACTCTCGGCATGTGATCGATCAAATCACTAACACTTTTCGGTCGTTTTCGTGTTCACGGAAAATTACGAACAGACAAGTTGTTGTCGTATATACATGCGAAGTAACCCGAATAGTCCACTCGTTACATTCCGCTGATGTACGCTGCCGAATAGAGTAATTCGTTCAATTTTGGTTTTGGTCTAATTTTCCTATTTCTGTTTATTTCGATCTTAAAAACTGGAGAACATGGGTGGATCGTTTTCAATCTTAATATTTACAGACAGTTAAGACGCCATTTCTTAAAAATTTAAGAATATGATTGTACAAAAAATATGTTTGGACCCCCTTTTATTAAATATGAATAATCCAAGTCATGCGGGTATACCAGTCAATTAAAATATTCACAAACGTTTCTATTCTTTAAACTAATTCGTATAAATGAATTTGCGGTAAGGCAGATAGGGTCAAGCTCATTTTGTCTGTTTGTTTTTATTTTCGCTGTAGCGTGTTATATATTAACTGTATTAAAACACTTTTTAAAAATAGATATTAACGAACTTATTATCCCGATTTTAGTTGTCCATTTTCAATAATGTAATCAATGACATTTATTACATATATACAGAAATTTAAAATACTTGAAAGTTAATATCTTTTTTTAAATCTCGATAAACTTTGCACATTTCAACAGTAAAAAAATCTATGTCTTCATTTGTCTTCGTTATTTTGTTAAACATCATGTGAAACCTAATCGCTTCGTCGGTATAACCTGTTTTACTCGGGATCCGCTTTCAATCGGAAAATACTTTTAGATCAGTTTAAAACGAACTGTAAATAGCAAAAATATGCAAAAATAAATACAATGTTCCATGTTTAACTGCTGTAGTGTAAACAATTCTCGTCCGTTTTACAAGTTTTTTACATCATTCGATTTCTTTTTGAAGGTAAAGGTTTTATATGATACAGCGCCACCTTCTTAATTAATAAACTAGGATTTCACACAGGTGCTTTATAATTACCGTACTCGATAAAATCAAGTGACTGATAAGAAATTCCAGATGCCATTTTACAACCGCGGTATCACAGATAGTAACCAAAGGGGTCTTGCCACTGAGACTATAATTGGATAAAATCATATGACTTTAGTACAGAGCTCTGCAGGCCATAAATACATGCTAATTAGTCGTTGTTATTCCTCTCAATATTACTTCCATCATCAGATTAAATAGGTCATGTATTTTACCCACACCTTTACCCCCTTTTCAATTTCTTTTTTTTGGGAGGGGGGGGGGGGAGGGTCTATATATGTACCATTAAATAACATTCACAATGTTAATATCTCAACTTAAAATGTTTTTATAGTTTTATGGTTCTATTCTCCTGATTTCATTTGGAATAATTACTAGACAACCATCAGTACTCATGAATTTTGTTTTGCTCTTTTTCTTTGGAAATTGCCTTGGGGGATACTACACTTCGTTAGAGCAGTTTTTAAGAGTTCACTTTCATAATTACTCTACAATGAAAAGTCATTCATGTAAAGCATTTTATAGTGCATGGAAAGAAAGCCATGTACTATGAAAAAGTGAAGGGAAAATACTATTTTCCATTGGACGAGAATGGGTGAGTATGTTCCAATAGTTCCCAACAGTATGTAGCTTAGGAATATGAAAAAAACCCAGAAAAAGTCAATTGAGGTATTGAACAGCCAAATTAGCAATTAGCTGATTGTTGAAGATGTTTTTCTCAAGTTGCACGCTCTCCGTGCAAAACACATGCAAATATCGCTAATGATGTAAGCAATCTTTCCTTTTTAAAATCCATGGAATTACTCTAAGTATTTCTTAATGGTTGGTATGTCTTATAGCATATTTGTCTCTATGATCCCCATTTGATGATTCCTAAGAGTTTCTATTAATAATTCATTTAGTGAAGGTCATCAAACGCAGCACAAAAGACTTGTTTTGCATTGACTTATACTCTCTGGTCAGTTGTCATCCGGTTTCGTTTTGTTAGCTATACATGTTGCTAGCCTTCGTGTTCTAGCCATTTTGCCAGGTTTTGTGTGCAAACCATGATACCAGCGTTCATTTTCTTTCCACTTTGCCGGGGTTTTTATGTTTGATACCAACGTTGTCAGGTTTCGTTGCTATCCCTGTTGTCAGGGTTTGTTACTATCCATGTTGTAAGTGTTCCTTTTTCACTCGTATTGCTAGGGTTATTTTGCTACCCATCATGGGTTTCATAGTTTTTGAGTTGGAAGTGATGGATGCAGTTTGCATAGAGATCAACTCGAAATTCGGATCAAAACTATCTTTATCTTACAAATTGTATGTCATTATAGTTTTCATTTAGATTGAACTTTATGTAGAAAAATGGTTACCGAATACTTAACCGTATTATTTTTTAATCCAAACCAGTCTACAATGCATACCTTATCTCATTTTGTTTATAAACGGCCGGTAACCCTTAAATTAATTACAGTCAACAAGTTAGACCCCGGTATGTTGGTTTTACACTTATTTATTGTTAAGTATAAATTATAATTATGCCAGTCGAACGCTCATACTATATCTCATTGTATTCATTGAATGAAAGAAAAATAAATTTATATTAAGAATTTAAGAATTTTAAATAACGGCCAGTAACCTTCAAAATAAGTGAAATCAAATCTATATAAGTCGTTTAATCATCAACCTGTTAATAGTTAAGGGTAAATGGAGCGAGGAATACTTTATAACTTAAACAGAGTTTCAAATTCAATTTTTTATCATTTTTACTAGACAGTATAAAACATACTATATATATCTTTTTTTTCTTTTAAGAAAGGTTAAATGTATAAATAAGAAAATTAGAATGAATAAAACCAGGAGGATCAAGAGGGGTCAGCTGTGTCCCTTAAATTCCATGACATTTAAACAATAATTTTATCATTCCGATTGAAGTACATTTCCTGTGTTCCGCTTAACTTACAAGGATCTAACAACACCCTGTTTTACCTTATGTTCTGGTACTTATTACATCAACCAATGAAATTTCAGTCTTCAGAAAGTTGAAGTTGTGTAACATAACGACAAAACAAGAGGATTCCAAAAAGTTTCTTACACAGAAAGTAGAACAGAGCGTTGTCATTTCATTGCAAGCAAAGCTTTGGTACATGATTTGTATTTTAATCAGATTGTAATTTGATGCAAAAGAAATCTGACATTTGCAGACCCAAAATCCTTTAACAATTCAATTTCTTGTTGGAGAATGATTCCAAGAAATCAGACATTTTGTTTAGCGTAAATATACAGTAAGGGAATATGTTTTGGCAAAAACAAAAATATCATGGAACTTTTGATACAATTAACACTGTCTAAAATATACAATTTGCCAATAACAAACTGGTTTTTATTGTTTAATTGTACAAATCTTAGATTGTAACAATTCTTTTTAGTTGAGACAACGACTAATTTCCTTTTGAGACAGTGATTGAGATATTATATATTTTTTAGATACACCGCATGGAAGCATTCGTTATGGAGAAGGTTGGGGTATCCAGGACCGATACCATTTCCTTTTCTTGGTAACCTTAAAGACATGGCCCTTAAGGTAATACTGTAATGGTGGATTGCTTGATTGATTAATTGATTGATCGTTGGTGTTTTAACGCCTCTTTCAGCTTTATTGGTTATAGTGGCCGTTTTTATTGGTTTAAGAACCCGGAGTGTCCGGGCAGAACCGCTGACCTTCGGGAGGAAACTCAATTATATTCTATTAAGATTGGACTGTAATGGTGGAACGTACACACTTCTACAGCTAAATCAAATGTAAAATGCAGCTGAAAATAACTCATAATATCGAATACAGTAAAACTTAGTCTTTTTTTTCACTTTTCAAGCAATTACAATTATTGAGTGTGATATTTAACTTGTTAATGAGTTAACTGATATTGTTCCAAAACTGAAACCGCCTAGCTGGTCCCGTTGAAGCGTGCTTGCCTCGGGTGTAGGAGGTAGTGATTTTGATCCCTGGCCCAGCCAAACCAAATACTTTTAAATTAGAACCACTAGTAAACCAATTTTGAACTGAACAGCTCTTAAAAGACTAACCAATAAATTTTTAAGTCATGTTCAGTCTTTCAGACTTACTCACTGTGGTTAATTAAGCACTGTTCAGACAATTCGCTTGCAGTCAAATAAGGTCTGTTCATATTATGTTCAGACTATTTATTGGCTGTTTTTTACCTGTAATATTAACACAACACCATACGGAATTGTCTGATGAAGTAATGAACAATACTGGATTGACTGCAAGCAAAATGTCTGAACAGTACTGAATTTACTGCAAGAAAAAAATATTAGAAATAAAAAAATCTTAACAAGACTTAAGGTTTTAAATTTCAGACTTTTCAGTTGATGTTGATATCAAAATTACCGTTTAAGATTTAAATTCAGTTACTAGTGTATTTAGTTGGTCTGGGTTGTGTGGCTAATCTTCCTGTGGACTGGTATATTGTGAAATCACACTTTAACAATTCGGCTTAGCGTGTCGGTCTAGAACAAAGCAGGGTTTATATTTATATCACATCAACATGTGCTAGTTCTTAATATGCATTTAATTTGCCACCGGACGTTAAAAACCCAACCATCCATCCATCCGAAAATTGAGTTGATACGAATATCTGTAATACATATACCATGACCGATATACCTTGCCGATTTACAACATATACATTGAAAAGAATTTAATATAAATCCAAATTAAAAAAACGGAAAGCTTAAATAATATCATAATGATATAAGATTCATAATGAAGTGTCGGATATACGAAGGTATGGATGGGATTTACTAAATGAAGCATAATGGGCAAATAAGAATACGAACAGGGCAAAACATGTAAAGAATAAAGAACGATCGGGTGCTAAAACATAAATAATAGAGAATAACCACTGATACTAAAATTTAACAATACTTTTAGATATTTGGATGATATATTGGCTCTCAATAATGACGACTTCAGTATTTATACTAAAGAAATTTATCCTATTGAACTTACTTAAATAAAGCTAATACTAACAATGACCACTATCCTTTCCCCGATCTTGATATCTTTATCATTAACGGGAAGTTTAATACAAAAATTTATGATAAAAGAGATGATTTTTCATTTCCTATCGTTAATTATCCATTTTTAGATGGTGACGTTCCCTTGTCACCATCTTATGGTGTTTATATATCTCAACTTGTACGATTCGCTCGTGTATGTAACAACGTATTAGATTTTAGCGAGAGAAATTTATGTATTACTGAAAAATTATTACACCAGGGTTTTCGATATCATAAACTAGTCAAAACATTTACTAAATTTTATCATCGGTATAAGGACATCATTCGTAAATATAACTCAACATGCAGATATCTTATACGTTCGGGTATTTCACATCCAATCTTTTATGGTAATATTCTTTACAAAGCACAAAAATGTCAGTATTCACCTCAAAAGCTAACAAAACCTTTAAAAGGACTTATTAAGAAGGGATATAGTTACGATACTGTTGACAGATCATTAAAGATTACATATTTTGGCTTTAATATTGATTCTCTTATAGGGTCTTTGCATCGGAATTAAACATATTTATTCTAAAACCAGTTGTTGGCATGACACGGGTTATGTTCTTCTCATATATTTTATGATGGTATATAATACATATAATACTAAACCCCTAACAGGAGGGATTGTGCCTGATATTCATATGATGAAGACATAATCTTTCAATCAGTTTAATTGAGGTCTGGAGCTGGCATGTCAGTAACTGCTAGTAGTTTGTTGTTATTTATGTATTATTGTCATTTTGTTTATTTTCTTTTGTTTCCTATTCTGACTCGAACTTCTCTTAAACTGAGTTTTACTGTGCGTACTGTTGTACGTTTGTTTTTCTACATTGGCTAGAGGTATAGGGGGAGGGTAGAGATCTCAAAAAACATGTTTAACCCCGCCGCATTTTTGCGCCTGTCCCAAGTCAGGCGCCTCTGGCCTTTGCTAGTCTTGTATCATTTTTAATTTTAGTTTCTTGTATATAATTTGGAGTTTAGTATAACGTCAATAACACTGAACTAGTATACATATTTGTTTAGGGGCCAGCTGAAGGACGCCTCAGGGTGCGGGAGTTCCTCTCTGCATTGAAGACCCATTGGTGGCCTTCGGCTGTTGTCTGCTCTATGGTCGGGTTGTTGGCTCTTTGACACATTCCCCATTTCCATTCTCAATTTTAATGATATGCAAAAAATGGAATAAAAAATTAAAGGATACAGAAAATGAAGATCCCTATCCGTGCCTCATATATGCATGATATTACTAATACTAGTAATTCTTCCTCTTACTCACCTTCATTGATTTTCTTTTCACCTTAACTGGTTTAATATAATTCAGTGGTTGTCGTTTGTTGCTGTATATCATATTTGTATTTTTATCATTGTTTGTTTACATATATGTATATTTCAGGGATCTTGAAAAATATACACATACATATCTATATTCATATACCTCTTCAATGTGATTATTCCTTAAGTACCATTTTTTATTCAGTCAAACTTTATCGCATGTGAACCTCAACCATCTATCTGCCTTTTCGGAATGCACCTTGAATTTCACCAAGTACCCTTTATCGTCAATATAACTAATATAAATATCACTACTCTATGAATTAATAAAAAATGTAGCTGTCATTTTTTTGCAGGGAGTTAGCAAGAATGACCAAGACTTAGTTCCAAAGTATGGTTGTGTTGTAGGGTAAGTGATTACACATTATGGATTTTTTAAATCATCGAAATTATTTTGCGACACAAAGCGTTTAAAAATACAATTGAATATTCAATACCTGATTATAAATCCACAACAAAAGTTATTGTTCCGGACTGTCCGACAGATATGCTAGCGGGGTCTATTTTAAAAACATTTCATGGTAGAGGCAATTAACTCCGGATGTCCTTGCTTAAAAAAAGTGAAACGAGCATGGTGTATTGCGCATGATCTGACAGCAAGTTTCATTTGTAAAGTGCATTACACACTTATGGCAAAACTAGGATTGCAAAAGGTGATTACGCAATGATTATTCATAAAAACTGCAGTACATCAAAACCATCAAAACTTGCTCTTTCCATATAGACAGGGATAAAGTTTGTCCTACCTATCTGTTAAATCCCTGTTCCATTTGAAAAAAAAGAAGCATGGTCGGTAATTTGAAAATTGCGTACAATAGAATATCTTCGTCGAATCTTAACGATAAATTTGTCTCTTTATATTGACATCGATGAAGTTAAGTTATATTATTTGGCTCAAGTCAATTATTATATCTGTTTTCGGCTGTTGCGTCTTAAATTGAATAGATAGCTGCCAAGGCTCTTTTTGCCTTATATAAAAAGCAAGTTTGCTTCTTTAATAAATAAACCCTGATATGCTAACTTCGGATTAAGCAGAGTAATAAATTTAGTGTTGTAAGTTCAAAATTTTTCTGATGGAATATTACAGTATTGTACTCACTTATGATCTTAAGAAGTATTTTTTGTGGTTTTTAGAAATTTAAAGACATCGTAAGTTTTTATAGGTAAAATGTATTTGCTGAATAGAATATATGTAAGATTTACATGCATATATAACAGGATTCATCTGATTTTGACTTGACTTTGACTTGCATTGACCAAGTCAGCTTTTATGTTACATGTAATTAAACCTTAATTGTTCGCATGGATTAATCCGTTACAATTTTATTTCTGTGCATAGTTACACCTTTTGTAGAAAAGATACACGACTAAGCTTCAATTTTTTTACAATATGTGTCAGTGTACTGCTTGTGTATTTTAGCATATATAATGGCACAATCCCTGTACTATTAGTTACGGATCCAGATTTAATCAAAGAAATATTCATCAGAGAATCCCAGACATTTACGAATCGTGTAGTGAGTATTGGCCAATGGGAGTCGAAGGTGCAAGGTTATATCTTATTGTCAGTAATGTTTTAAAACCGTTCGATGGTCGTTATTAATTATATACAATAACTTGTCTTACAGCTACATTTTTCTATTGTGTTTTTACTTTTTATGAAACATGGCCTAGAAAGGCGAAGGATGGTTGGGGTTGTGCGCAAATAAAACTGTTTTTATCCAAACACAACAAAGTCAGGCTATGTACACCATGTGTAATCCATCATAATTTGTCTTAATGTGAAAGTTTATTTTTGTATTGTCCAAAAATAACCAGTAATTCGTTATTCTAATTTTTGTAGTATAAAGTAAAATAACAAAAATACCGAACTCCAAAGGAAATTCAAAACGAAAAGTCCTTTATAAAATGGCAAAATCAAAAGCTTAAACACATATAAAGAATGGAAAACAACTGTCATATTCCAGACTTTGTACAGGCATTTCCTTATGTAGAAAATGGTGGATAAGTGGAAAAAATCTGGTTTTATAGCTAGCTAAACCTCTCACTTGTATGACAGTCGCATCAAATTCCATCATATTCACCGTTCGTTTAAGTTCCTAGGATCTTACCTAGATAGCAAAACATATGCACTATTCATTGATATTAATAAAGAACAAAGAGTAAAATAAACTTTTATATCAATTCTGCTGCATGTTGCGAATTTACATGTACATATACATGTTGAAACGAAAATAATTATAGGTTATTTTTCCTGTCGATGAAGTGCTCGACAGCATGATTTCTGTCTCGGAAGATGAACACTGGAAATTCATAAGAAGCATAATGCAACCAACATATACTTCAGGAAAGCTGAAAAATGTATGTTTAAAATAAGTGTTAATCAAAGTGTTTCATGCAATTATCGTTTCGAATTTTATTTTTGTCTTGGATATCTATTTAAATTCAGAGCCTTTATTTCGTAGATTTTGATAGTATAGTTTTGGTTTATCCAAATGGATTTTCCATGGTCAAATATTACTTTTCAATCAATAAATGCCTACTCTATAATACAAGTATATATCGAATGTCTCATTAATAGAGAATGATTACATAACAAAGTAAGAATATCCGTACTTTTCCGAACTTTTCTTTGCCAAAAGCGGCTTTATACTCTTGCAAATGACTTTTAATTTGATCTAAAACACCAAATGAAACACTATAGTGGGCCTTTGTGGCCGAATGGTATAAGTAGTTAGTCTACTGTATCACTAGCCTGTCAACACTAAGGTTGTGAGTTTGAACCCTGCACGTGGCAGGTGCGTTCGACTCCCAATCTTAACTGACTTCGATTGTCAGTTCGCCTGACGAAGGTCAGTGTTTCTCTCCGGGCACTCTGCACTACAGCTAAACACCAGCAATCAATCAATCTTTACACAGTCTTGGATGTCTTAACTTGACAGAACTGTAAAGCTTATCGAGATGAGATTGAAGTAAATTAAGAAGCGTTAACAGACTACATCTACTTAATCTGAAATTTGGTGGATAGTTGTCTCATTGGCAATCATACCACATCTTCTTATTTTTATATTTATTGCAGCTGATAGTCTTTTTGCCAATTCCGTTATTGACCCTGTTATGAGAGATCTAATATTTGAGTTGCTTCACGTAGGACGGAAAGAAATTTTCGTTGGCAATAAAGAGCTAGCGAAATTGCAAAATGTATCTGTGTGGAATGTGTGTAATCTTTTAAGTTTTTCAATTTTTTCATTCCATTGAATCTTTTGTTAAGCTAATAGCTTTTGATAAAAATAATTATTTTTATTAAAACTTTGTTAACACACCTATATACTGTTAACCAACTTATGTTCGCACATACTTTATTTCGTGTTTATTCCTTCACAGTCGACTCCGCCGCGAATTATTTTCACGATTCTCTAACTTTCGTCACCTATTTACATAACGAAGGACATACATTTTAGGTATTTGCGACGATTTATATACACGTCATTGTCCTACTCGCGAACGTCGCGAAATTAAATCGATCGCGAAAATTAGTTGGTTTACAGTATCACTTTCAATTTATTATGCCTTGCATGGGCAGCAGCTGATTTTGTCCGTTATAGAACCAGTCTACAATTGGCAAAGAGAAACAACCGGAGTTAAAAGTGCGTGATAACACAATAAAATCAAATCGGTATTTGGCAAATATAGTATTGCCATTTAGATTTAAACAAAAATAACTAATACTTTCTTAAGTCGACTGTAAATTACTTCATTTTTGAAACAAACGTTCATGATATAAATCAATTTCATATATTTAACAGATTCTACCAACAGTACAGAAGTCTTGTGATGACCTTGTAAATATAATTGCGCAGGGAGTTAGAGGTGGTGACGTCATAGAAGTTAAAAAGTGGGTTTATCGTTTGTCTTCTGTCTTAATATTCTGAATACAGCTTGTTTATTTTTCTTATGATTTCTTAAAGAATTTAAAAATAAATTTATTCTAAATACTTGTATGAAAGATGTAAATATATGTCAACTGGTCGCGAATGGTTTCTTTCCATTTTATACAAAAACATTTTATATCTGCTTTTCAGACCAATATTTAATTTCGGTTGCAAAGTTGAATTTGTAATAATGTATAAGCACACCCATACATTAGACTTATAGTCAGAAGATAAATATAAGTATCAGTAATTTATCGATGTTCAAATCTCTTAATCTAACCTATTACGAAGATACAAATCAAGGTAACAAACACACACTGGGAATTGAATGAACGTCCAAAAGGAGCGAATCCGGTGTCATCAACAGGGTATGCATCTCATACTAGGCATGCATACCAGACCAGGCGAATCAACACTCAGACGAAATATCACAATCGGGATTATGACAAATTCGGTTAAATTACAGATCTGTTGAGACGATTAAAGTCATTCTTCCTTATGGCTATTTTGAAACTGTTTTTTTATGTGCAAGGAACACACCCCACCACTGATAAAAAAAAAACTGTATGGTGTGAACATCCACGAGATTTTAAATTTTGAAGAAGAACAAAAACAACGATTTGCTATATTACGTGTTTGCGAAAAGTTATATGCAAAAGTATCTTTACCACAAAATTTGAAGACTGACTTGTATCTGAAACTACAAAATGGCAAAAATCTTAAGTGGTAGGCCATTTATGTATTGCAATAAACATGAACTTTCTAAATCGGAAAACGTATATACTTCAAGATTTGTGAGGATTACAACTAAAACATAAAAAAAAAATTAAGCACAACAACGTACCAGTATAAAACAAAATTTGACGAACAATCTACAAATTTAAACAACATCGCATCACAATGTAGTAAACAAAAATCAGATTGGTGTAAAGTTGATTTACTATTCATCCATATGCAATCGTTGTGCAGGAAGACTTGCCAAAATGGAAATAACAATTAACCTAATAATTCGACTAGTTATGAGCAGAAGTACAGACCATACATTTGAATTGAACCCATTGGTTTTACTTAAAAAAAAGTGAAGTTCCAAAACTTTAGACTATTAGACATTATTAACCATAGTAACCTTATTCAAGTTCCACATTACTTTACAGGTAGCCGAATTAATTACTATTAATTAATATAGCCATATAATGGAGTTCCCAATTCCTTATATTGCAACATATTTATCCTTGGTCATTACCTTTGTCATAAAGGTTGTAAATTGTTCTTTTCAAGTTATCAAATTAGCAGACTGATAGTGTTAGCTGAAGACTTGAAGTATAAACCAAAATATAGAAAGACAGAGACAAATTGGAAAGGGATGTGTTGTTTTGGCTCTTGAAGTCGGACAAACAATCATGTAACAATTCATGTTGAACATGCCAAGTGTTTACTATGAATTTTAATACTCGTCAAATAAATGAATGTTGCATCTGAACTCTTGGTCCTGAAATGATTACTCTTCAGTTTTTTCTATTTGTAGAATTTGCGGTGGATTTACGATGGATGTGATTTGTAGCACAGCTTTTGGTCTTAACACGAACTCGCTCAAAGAACCCGACAACGATTTTGTGGCCTACTCACAAGGGATACTTACGTCTGATCTTGTTAGGCCATACCTTCTCACATGTAGTAAGTTATAGCCTATTCTTGATAAAGTATATGTTTATTTCATTATTTTTACATTGTTCGAATTGGATGCTCACATATTAAATATGATTTGAGTCTTTCTCCTGACGTACCCTACTTTAACAGCCATTGCCTGGGTCTAACTAATACCTTACAGTCAATTGATTTTTATCATATGTCTATCTTACACAAAATCAACTTTATATCTGAAACTATTCAGATAGAAAACGTTTTAAAATATGTTTATCTTTAAAAACCAAATGAAATGCCATCTCTTAACATTTTTCTAAATATTTTTAGAAATGGTTAGTTTGGGGGCCGGGACTTTATGTGTTGGGTATTGAGTTTCTAATCGAAACATGGAGACATTTTGTTTTGTCATTTTCATGAGTTTTCATTGATAGAAACTTTAGATTTACTTCTTGTAACCTCTGTAATATTACCAAAAAAAACCCAACACTTCATAAATTTCATCCGTCCAAAGCGCTTTGTTTTTGGATTGACCCTATAAGTCAAGGATGTATCCGAAGAACCGAAACAGTTGAAGAGCTATACGACAAAAAAGGACCTAAAATGATAGCCAAATTCTAAGGTCAACTTTGCCTGAGAAAGATGAAACCTTAGTTTCTTTATAATTTTACAATTTATATACGGACAATTTAAGAAAGGTTTGTACAGCTGCGTCATTTACGTGATCAGACAATTTCTCTTTTTTAAAGTGGTATTTCCGTTTTTGAAGAATGTGATGGGATACCTTTTCAAGGTCCCAAAATTTGGACGAGGTGTTGAAGAGTTTTTCAGAAACGTGGTGTCCCAGATTATGGCGGAGAGAAAGATAAACAATAATGTACGTAAGAATGGAAGATTAAATCGTTAAGTATATTTTATATCAAAAAAAAATATTTTATATGACGATAACAACACCGATGTGACCGTAATCAAACAACAAATATATAGAAAAATATACTTGTGGGCGTTATTATAAAATGTATAACTAAGCCTTAATTCCATACGTTTGGTAGACATGAACCGAATATTCGTTTTTTATACATAATTGATATATATATATATATATATATATATATATATGTTATTTTATTGCATATATTAATATATACCGGATTTAACGTAAAATTATAGGTTTCATAACGAGTGAGAATTGGATATCGCTTTATTTGCTAACACATTGTTGAAATATAATGTAATTTTATGCGACTGTCATACAATGAGAGGTTTAGCTAGTTATAAATCCAGGTTTAATCCACCATCTTCTAAACAAAGAAATGCCTGGCATATAACAGGTGTGTTTACATTCGTTTGCTGTGTTTGAACTAAGTCATTTGATTTTGCCATTTGTTAAGGGACTTTCCGTTTTAGATTTTCCTTGGAGCTCGGTATTTTTGTTATTTTACTTTTTGATATTAACTCGAGTTATTCAATTTCAATATGATAATAAACGAGCCATCGGCGAGTTTATGATTACTTTTTAAATTAAATAACGAGAGTTGATATCAAGCTATATCCAGTTCTCACGAGTTAATAAACCTATTATGGCCAACGCTCTCATTGTGTCAAATTGAAATTCTGCGAATCATTGAAATAGTCTTTTGCACATACCAGTACTATGTCATTGGTACTGTTTCGGCGTCAAACTTGAATATCAAACATTTTAAAACTTTTTGCACGCTTCAGAATGTAATAAGATTTGACAAAAACGAAGATTTTCAAGTACAAAATGTGAGTGTTTTGTATATTATTGAAGTAATGTCCGTTGCAATTGACGGAAAGTACATCGTCGTCTTAACCTTTGGGAGTCATCAATGGCCTAACGAATACCCAACGGAATGTGTCGTTATATCGTTTCATGATGCTGTATAAGCCAATCAAATTACCGCAGTTTTCGTATCACTTGTTTGTATTACGCTACGTGCAGTGTGATACGAAAAAATATCTCTTCATGCAAGAAAATGATAACAGGCCACAACCATAAGAGAATAGCAATTTCCAAATTTGAAGTAAGTTTTTAAAACTTAATGTTATTTTTATACTGTATAAATATCCAAATGTCAATCCAGAAAACAAAACGACACAACAATGTAGTCAGTCACTAATGACGTGAATTTATAATGAGATTATGCTTTTAGAAAGAAACAAATAATATGGATTTATTAACGAAAAGGAAAGGGTGAGTTTATGGTTTTCTTTTAACCATTTGTATATGTTCATTAAAGCATCGGCCCCGTCTGGCAGGCTATATTTGTCTGCAACGATATTTGACATTCTGAAGATTTTGTATTTACGTTAATTATATGCTAGGGCTATTTTATGATATTGATTGTTAGTTTCTGTATTTGACCCATAAGGTTTCAACTAATTAACGCACATTTGAATTTTGGCCTTTTCTATTAATAATTTGTAGATGTTGAAATTAACCGTAAGTGAATATCAGTGTCACAGATGACCACGGACATGTTCAAATCGTTGTAACCATTCTTTCGTCCTGGTTTCCTCAATTGTTACATCTCCGTATGAGATTTGAAATCGAATTTGTTTACATCAAGCAATAAGACGGTTGCCACACATACCACATGTGGAATATCTGCAAACTTTTCCACAGCACATGGGATTTACCATGCCCCCCCCTCCCCCCCCCCCCCCCCCCCCCCCCCCTCACAAAAAAAACCCTATCTATCTCTTTTCGACTGATGAGTTTTGATTTGGTATCATCCGCCTCTTTGTTCGAGCCATCAGTTTTTAAATGGTATTTTGTTTTTAATATTATTTATTGTTAACGAACGACTTGATAAACGTTGATGTTTTTGCTTTTAAAAGTAACTCGGCTCTTTTTGTTGTGTTAAAATTGCATAATGAAATAAAGCACATGCTCACAACTAACAACTAACGTAAAATGATATACATGCTATAGCAGAACACATATTTACTAGTGACAAAATACAAAGACAAATGCTACAGCAACACAAATATTATGATGCTACAGTGTAGTCACAAAAATTGTAACTGTAAGGAAAAGTATCAATATCGTTGCATTTTTGAAAATTAAAGACTAAGCAAAACTATGCATTTCAATATTTTGTAACCAAAACGAAGTATTGTTAATCATAATTTTTTTTAATTTTTTACAATAAACACTTTTTTTGTGTATTTTTTCAGATCAATTTTCGAGACTTTATTCAGTCAATGATAACAGCTCAAAACGTCAAACCTAAAAGCAGTGCACTGCAAACAGATAACGGAGAAGAGATTTTCTCTGCATATAAGAATAAAGGTAGTATTCAAACAGTCAATACATGTCGCTCAAATGGTTTATTTGGGTAAATGCGTTGTGGATAATCATTTCAATTGTTTTGGGATCGACCGTAAAATTTCTTGTTATTATCCCTGCTTATTTTTTTTTAATTAGTGCCAAATGTGAGAGTTTGAGCTTGATATATTACATTATCAATTTTATATTATCGAATAACGTATGCTACCCTTTCGATCAATGATTATGGTTTTTTTTCCGTTTATTACTGTGTTATTGACAAACATCGTGTTAACATCTTCTCTCGACTGGCTGGTGGTTTTTGATACGAACAGAAGGAAATCTGGGTTATTCGTCAATCAATTCCTATGGTAAAAACAGTTGCTCCTGAAGGATAATAAGTTTCTGCTCTACTATTGGTGACTGTGCAAATAAATGTATGAGATGCATTGGACTGTGTCTCAGTTGAACTTTAGTCACGATAATCCTGTTTGAATTCGGTTGTTGCACCATAGCAGCCTCCAATGATTCTTTGTTGTTTTCGTATATGTCAACTGCTCTCTGTGTGTTTAACCTCAGCCGTTAGACATTGTTTAATGTTTTCATTGATAAATGGTGTGTTATTTCTAGTTTTACATATTGATTATTATCATTAGTATACGAACATGTATTATCTCGATTACTTCTACTACTAGAGATTTACAATAAGTGTATAAGTCCGACCCGACTCCGAGTACAACTGCGAAAAATACGGGGGCGATCTCAAAATACTAAAAAACATTACATATTTTTATTATTCATTATAATAGTGTTATTGAATATACTATATATTTATGGTAATAAACTGACAACATTGACTTTGTTTTGTGCAATATATATTTTTATAGGAATGACTGAAAATGAAATAGTAATGAATTCGATGATTTTCTTTGGAGCTGGGTATGATCTTACATCTAATACGCTAATGTTTGCTGTCTATGAACTAGCCTTACATACAGAAATACAGGAGAAACTATTTGAAGAAATAAATAATGAAATAGGAAAGGTAAGAAGTCATTACATGAATGGATTTAGTTTTTCCGACGGAATTCTACTTATTTGTAATTTTTAAAAAGTTTTGTAGAATTAGTTTTACTTTTATAAAAATAGAAAATCTAATCATACACAAAAAAGTTTACAAAAGACAACCCTAACAATGGCATTACAAGTAGTTAAGATTGATTCAATTCACAATTATCTCATGCATACAAACTTTCAGCTACTTTCGATTTATTATCTTTACTAATGGATTATAACGATGCTTATTTTCTCAATTCACTCTGTTCAACCAAAAATAAATCATTTATGTACTCTTGGCTTCTACTTTTCTAAAGACATCCTAAAACCAACCACGAAAAATAATACGTATGTCTCAAATACTTGCAATGAAATTATTTCTGTATTAATAAAGACAAACACCATTATAGAGACTGCCAGGTGCGATGACCATCTTTAAAATTTATTATACACATAAAACACAACAAGACAAATGTCCTCAATAGTATTCACCACAAATGGCATCAGTTCATTCAAATAACATACAATCTACAAAAGAGAAGCGCATACTTAAAATATGAACACTACATATATAATGCACGAACTGTTATACTGAAGATTAATCATCCTATACACAAATACGTATTACTCGTGAAATGGCCTCCGCCCTTGTCGATTACTTTTTTCGTGCACGCACGACTTTAAATACTAACGGAACTTCTTATTCTATTTTTATTACAATTAGCCCGCTTCCTATACTCGAATTCATATGCCTGTCGTACATAGATATATAGCTTTACGTTTGATAAGAGGGTAATTAGCTTTTGATTATTGAGCGAGTTCTTTGAAATCAACAAAATTGAGAATGGAAACGGGGAATGCGTCAAAGAGACAACAACCCGACCAAAGAGTAGAAAAAGCCCAATAAATGTAAAATGTTGATAAGTTCGATGTCATTCAAATTGTTCGAAGAATCCATGTTATAAGAAATCACTTAGCCTAATTTATGTATGTCATAATTCAGCAATTTTTAAGTCAGGTGATATAGCCCGGTAAACATCTTATGTAACTGTAGGCGTCAATTTTGTTTTTTGGTCTGTGCTTCCGTCCGTTTGTCCATTCGTTAAAATAATAGGTTAAGGTAGTTAATCATTGAGTTGTGGTCTCGTCAATTTGAGACTTAGTACATATGATCATTATAAAAATACTATTTTGAATTTATATACAAAATTACGGGTTTCAACCTGATTGTATGGATCACTAAACAAAGAAATGTCATAACGTGAAATAAGTACATTCTCAGATTTTGATGTTTTGGGTTAATGAAGTTAACCAAAAAGTGTTCACACGAATTAGAAACTTAAATAGTACACAATGTTCATTGTAAGACGATGTTTTAAAAACAATTGCCAAAAATATCATATTGAAGAAGTAAAATAACAGAAATACCGAACTCAATTTCAAATTCAAAACGGAAACTCCCTTAAGAAATGACAAAACCAATAGCTCAAACACATCAAACGAACGGAAAACAACTGTCATATTCCTGACCGATTACACGGTTAACTGAGGATCAACATATGATATTGTGGAAGGGTCATAATGTTCTATAGACACATATTCTTGTTGATTCAATTTCCTTATCTTTTTTATCCCGTTTTTTAGGAGGCACCACCATATGAATCTCTTTCAAGCTTACAATACCTCGATATGTTCTTGTCCGAAGTTCTCCGTCTTCATGCAGCTTTTCACAGGTAAAAGCACAAATTAGTTATGCAAATCCACGCTAAGATGTAGAATATCTATATATAATGAATTTTAGGTGTTAATCATATATTGTTCATAGGTAAAATGTAAGTACCCAACTACAAGGGTTTCATTTAAATGATATTTGTTGATTAATATATATACATGCAGATACAGCTGAAAGATGACATAAGACCCAGGTACATAACGGACAAATTCAATTTTGTTTGTTTTATGAAATTATTGAAACATTCGAACAAACCTTAACCTGACGAAGAGAGGTTGTTGTCAATATGTGAACTATTGACTATTACTAAGGAGAGAATCCTTACACTACACAATACCTTTTGTTTTTGAAGAACAATTAACCATTTTGGACCATCTTCTTAACAGCTTTTTCATATAATTTCATATTCACTGGTTCACATTCATAATTGTCAAAGAACATTTCCAATTGAATTTGAAGTAACAATCCAACAATCAAGTCATGCAATCATTAACAAATCAATATACTAGTATGTGGTGTTTTGTGAGAGTTCAATGTTAAAAAAAAAAGAGAACAAGTAGTCCACACAAGACTATACAGAAATGTAAACATTGCGCAGCACGAACCTATTTAAATATTAAAGGGGATTATGTGAGATACGAGATTTAATTTCAAGATGAACTTACTTGTAATACATGTATATTACACAACACATAACCTTCTTTATAGGATCAACCGACATACAAAGAATGATATAACAGTTAATGGCATGTTTATACCTAAAGGAACAGACGTTACGATACCAATATCTGCCCTTCACAGGATTTCACAGTACTGGCCAGACCCAGACAAATTTGATCCTCAAAGGTATCATTTACTAAAATGTTCACACTTGTATTAGATGTATTTCACTATATGCATTTTCTATCTTGTTTATTAAAAAAAAAAGGCTTAATATAGAGGCATCATGTAAAAGTTTATGTATAATTCATTCAAAATACGTTCTTCAATCTGTTGGAACAACCATGGTTGTCTGCTGCTAGCGTACTCGTCTCAAGCCGAAAAATGGTTTTATGCACTTATAGAAGGGAAAACAAAAAATGCAATTACAAAAAGCTAATAATTAGATAAATAAACAAATGAAAATATACATAAATGATTGATTAAATGAAAAGATAAGACTAAAAAAAAAAAAAAACACCATTAAGGAAAAAACTAAAGCACAAACAAAACGAAATAACGAACGCAAAAAAAAAAAAAAGAAAAGTGTTGAATGCATGGTCTTATTGGTATTTATATAGGTTCACACAAGAAAACAAAGCGAAGAGACCAATGTATAGCTACTTACCTTTCGGACTTGGACCACGTGTTTGTGTAGGAATGAGATTAGTTGTCATGGAAACAAAGATGGCCCTCATAGCAATGATACAGAATTTTAAATATTTCTCATGTTCCAAAACGGAGGTAGGTGCATACATAAATTCATTAAAGAGAGCCATCCTCGAATTTGATATAGCTAACGTTAATGATGTAGGCTCGTGACATCATACATCATCATCTCTCGACAGAGAAAAACCTATATCACACGAGTAGTGTGATATTAAAAATTATCACACAAAAAATATTAAGCCAAATTTTAGAAAATAACGATAATAAATATGCAATGCACGAAGAGAGAAGTATTAGGAACAGAGAACACACACTACATACATAATCATTTCTATATTGAATACAGTCAAACTCGACGCTGCAACATTCATAATTTCCTGATTTGGGACTATGGGTAGTAATTGTTAAAATTTCCTTTCCCGTTTCATAAACGGGTGTACATGTTTTCTCAAACAGCATGCAACATTAGAAGTGACAGAAGTTTACGCATGTTCATATCTTTTTTGTTCATTGAGAACATACAAATCAAGGTAAAACCACAACCAGGAGAAATCGCAGGAGCAGCAAACAAATAGGACAGAATTTGTCGAAAGCGTATACACATTTCATTAAAAAGCAAGAACCAGCCGCCATGCGAAACCAACACTCAGTCAAATTGCTCGAAAGTGAAAAGAACACAACGTCATGAAAACATAAGGTATCTCCATCGAGTGCCCGTTTGAGATACCCGTATAAAAGAGGGACGAAAGATACAAGAGGGACAGTCAAACTCATAGATAGAAAACAAACTGACAACGCCATGGCTAAAAACTAAAAAGACAAACAGACAAATAATAGTACAGATGACACAACATAGAAAACTAAAGACTAAGCAACACGAACCCCACCAAAAACTGGGAGTGATCTCAAGATAATTGTTCGTGTAAAATATATGTTCAAAGAATGTTAGCTTTCTATACATTCGATACTAATTGGTTGCTGATAGAGAATAATGAGCAAAATAGATAAAGAAGAGAGAAAAATGATCTAAACAACTCAAGAATAAAGAATTGCGGGATTCCCATCCAGACTCTCATATGTGTGTTTATTTGCATGTAAGCCAATTTTAAAGCATAACGAAACTAGTCATTTTGGGACCTTTTATAGCTTGCTGTTCGGTGTGCATGAGCCAAGGCTCCGTGTTGAAGGCCGTACTTTGATCTATCATTGTTTACTTTTTACACATTGTGACTTGGATGGAGAGTTGTCTCATTGGCAATCATACCACATCTTATTTCTATTTACAAAAATGTCAATTACTTTATAACAGATACCAATACCACTGGAAAAGGGACTTCTGGCAAGACCACTGAATGGAGTATATCTTAGAGTAGAGAAAAGATAGAGTTATAAAACAACGAGAATGTTAGCACTTCTTATCTATTGTATCTTTTTTATCATACAAGTGCATAGTGAATAATTTATTATATGAGTCTTATTATTGATTTATCTAATCATATTTTGTCTTGAAAATGCTGTTCCCGTTTAGATATTTCTTGTCCGAAATGGTGTTTTAGCGTTGATATTAGTATATGTATATATATTGCATTGTATATATAAGAAGAATATGTTTTGTTTATTTTAACTTCAGTTTATATCTTTATTTGTTGATCACAATTTAAAAGTTTTAAATCTTGAATATCTATACCTCCAAACTAAAAAAAAATCAAATCTTGTATTCTGAAAAATGCCTCTTTGTTTGTAAAGTTTCCAATTCCTCGGTATACGGTGGTGTATGTTGTCTGCGTAAAACTGTATTAATGTTGTTTTTCTTTTCGTCAATAGTAATGTTAACCATACCGTTGTCTGTTTTATTGGATTGATTAAATTATATTATTTCCTTTTGAATACTTTCAACGTCAGAGCTTAAAGATAAGTATTGCAGCAGAGTGTATAAACTCATCATAAATTTGTAAGCCAATTTTAAAGCATAACGAAACTAGTCATTTTGGGACCTTTTATAGCTTGCTGTTCGGTGTGCATGAGCCAAGGCTCCGTGTTGAAGGCCGTACTTTGATCTATCATTGTTTACTTTTTACACATTGTGACTTGGATGGAGAGTTGTCTCATTGGCACTCATACCACATCTTATTTCTATTTACAAAAATGTCAATTACTTTATAACAGATACCAATACCACTGGAAAAGGGACTTCTGGCAAGACCACTGAATGGAGTATATCTTAGAGTAGAGAAAAGATAGAGTTATAAAACAACGAGAATGTTAGCACTTCTTATCTATTGTATCTTTTTTATCATACAAGTGCATAGTGAATAATTTATTATATGAGTCTTATTATTGATTTATCTAATCATATTTTGTCTTGAAAATGCTGTTCCCGTTTAGATATTTCTTGTCCGAAATGGTGTTTTAGCGTTGATATTAGTATATGTATATATATTGCATTGTATATATAAGAAGAATATGTTTTGTTTATTTTAACTTCAGTTTATATCTTTATTTGTTGATCACAATTTAAAAGTTTTAAATCTTGAATATCTATACCTCCAAACTAAAAAAAAATCAAATCTTGTATTCTGAAAAATGCCTCTTTGTTTGTAAAGTTTCCAATTCCTCGGTATACGGCGGTGTATGTTGTCTGCGTAAAACTGTATTAATGTTGTTTTTCTTTTCGTCAATAGTAATGTTAACCATACCGTTGTCTGTTTTATTGGATTGATTAAATTATATTATTTCCTTTTGAATACTTTCAACGTCAGAGCTAAAAGATAAGTATTGCAGCAGAGTGTATAAACTCATCATAAATTCCAGGATTAAAATTGTGTACGCCAGACGCAAATTTCGGACAAAAGTTTTTTTTACAGTGTTCTTTCTATTTTGTTGAACCTTGTATTTCTATTTACTTAATTTCTACTTCATCGAGAAAGTGTATACTATATACGGTATTTACTATCAATGACAAAAAACTTTTTTGTTGGTGTCGTCATTGTTTAATTTACGTCACTGATGAGTCTTTTGTAGACGAAGCGCGCGTTTGGCGTACAGCATTTTGGTCTTGGCATCTATGACGAGTTAATACTATTCACTACACAAATTTTGTTTGCGTATTTGGTAGATACATTTGTTTGTTTGTTTGAATTTTTTAGTCAGTGGTTTTTTTATGTCTGTGATGTATGTTTACACAGTTTTGACTGATGGATCAAATAAACCTATTATGCTTACCCAATTTTGTCAATATAGCGGAACTAAAAAAATCTGTCATAGAAAAGGGAGGTTAAACTAGCTATAAAACCTGGTTTAACCCACCATTTTTCGGAAAATATCTGTACCAAGTCAGGAATATGGCAGTTAAATTACGAGAGGTTTTGCCAAATAAAATTTATTAATGAGTTGAAATCCATGACAAAGCAGGGATCTAAACTGTTTGAATAAAGCTTTGTATTCAGGAAAAGACGATTGATAAATCATGTTTTGTATACAAATGCATGAAAGTTTGACACAATAAAACAATTCTTTTTCTTTCGAGATCTTTTCAGTACATTTTTTAGTTACTATAGTTTGAATGCGTGACCGCAGGCATAGAAAATGGGCATACAGTACTAGTGGACTTATAAGAAAATGCCTTCTAAAAAACTCTAAAGAACTTCTTGACTTACGTTTTGAATTTCCCTTGGAGTTCGGTATTTTTGTTATTTTACTTTTTCGTACATTTGATATGGCGATTTTAAATCATTATTATAAATTCAAAATTACTATCAATAATTTAATTTTTAAGAACACTATATTTGTTTTTCAGGAATGCAAATGGTTTAATATCTAGATATAATCCACCTGGCAATGTCTAGCATGTCTAGATGAAACATAAAATATTTTTTACATCGCGATTCATCTTGATTAGCATATTAGTTTTGTTGAATTCCTAGATGTTTCACAATTTGATTATATTTTAAAACCAAGTCTAAGTTTTTACCACAAAATTTTCCAATTTTTATCAAAATCGACGGGGACCTCCTTGTATTGATACAACGACTGTGTTGTGCATTAAAAATATTATAATTGGCTTAGGCAACTTTTCTTTATCATTAATTAATAGACAAAGCATTGCTGACGGACGGACAGACAGACAGACCGTGATTACTTTAGTAAATATCGACAACACTATTTCACCAATGTTCAAATTTTATAGATATGGATTAAGAAGACAAATACATGTTACAAACATAACATGATGGAAACTCTAAAAAGAGCGAGAACGGCATCGTCGACACGATAAGCGTCTCCTACTATGGATGCATCACCCGTCATGCGTATTCCCACTAAGTCAAAATGACACAATCGGTAAAGTTCCAAATTAAACGACTATACTGGTGTATAAAGATCTTAGACCGACTAAACATGTCTTTAGTGAGTTAAGATACAAAATTTGTCGTATCGGTTTACCAATTCATATAGCAGAATTTAAGTATAAAAACATTTTAAACCATTTTGGACGTAATAATATACTTTATAAAGAAATTTCCTTCATGTCTTGTATAGAACCATGATATATGTTACATGCATAATGAAAAAACAATCAACGCTTTTACAACCCTATGAAATGACTAAAAGAAGCATTCAATACTTATAATTACATTTTTTCGCTATGATCATGAAAACACGATTACTTTCATTTTTTTCTTTTATTTACCTGTGCACTTTATTGTGGAAACGTGTGTCATCATGTATGTTGCAATTCACGCAATTCATTTTGAAATGAAGAATGACGCGAGATTGCTGTTAGCCAATCAAAATAACGTATATTAATGAAACATACATCTAATGTAATTATTTGTGTATGTGATTATAAGTTTCGTGCATCCGAAACACTTCATCAAGAACAGTCAAAACAAAAATAGGTTGTTTAAAAAAATAAATTATTGATATTTTAGCCTTGGAAATATCTATGCATAACAATAAAGATACGTGCTTTGATTGCATATGTGACAAATATCCATCCTATACCAAGGAGAATGTAAAACATAACAGATCAACGTTTGGCTGACAATGAATGATAAGCAAAAGCCATACCACAGGATATACAAGGCCCATGGAAAGCAAAAAGATGAACAATACAAAAAGCAATTTGAAGTCAAATTTAAATTTATTTCAAACTATTAAATAAAACAAAATTGGAGTTCTGCATTAATATTTTCTTTTTCCATGGGTTGAAAGAATGACAGGAAATTCAGCAAAAGGACGAATTAGAATTGAACAAATTATGCAAAAGCCTGACTATTTGACTTGTCAATGCTTATATAAAAGATAGAACACAAGCTTCACGCAAAACAATATTAACACAGTAAGTGTTTTTGTGCTCATTCATTGGCACAATATTAGTTCTCTATATTAATTTAGCAAAAATGTTTCTGAAACATGCAAAAGACCACTACATTGTTTGTATTTGTAAAAATATCTTAAAATCTCCATTTTGACGTCACAGATTAATTGCGTCAATAAACCTGGCATATATTTACATTTTCTGTAAGGTTGTCTTCTGAAGCTTTAAAAATTTGATAAATAATGATTCACGCAATTTAAAATTGCGATGAATTTACAGGTACAATAATGCCCCAAAATGTCTTTCTTATTTATTATTCTATTAAGACTAGGCTAACATCTCCAGGTTTTACTCGATGTAGCGTTGACCGAGCCATAATGCAGCTTCATTTACCAGATGGTAATTTCAATTAAACGTCACATGGTTTCACGTGCCCACTTGTTAGCTTTGGTTTGTATTAAGATAACCAAGAGTAATGTTGTCTTGTAAGTTTCTTTTTTAATCATGTTTTGACAGAGATAACTATTTTTTTAAAGCATATTGCTTCATGTCAAGGGGATATTAACATAAATTGACAGTTGGCTTGTTATTTCAGTAGTTACAGGATTTGTTCATACTTTCAGTATTATGGATTTAAGGACATGAGTGAAACAACAGATCAGTTAAGTCAGCCTCATATCTTGAGTTACATCTAGAAATTGACAATGATGGTCGATTGAAAATGCAACTTTACGCCAAAAGAGATGATTTCTGCTTCCCAATTGTGAACTTCCCATTTTAAATAGCAACATTCCGGTAGCACCTGCATACGGAGTATATATCTCACAGTTGATACGATATTCTCGGGCTTGTATTTCCTATAATGATTTTCTTGATAGCTTACAAGGAAGGCATTAAATCAAGAGTTCCAAGTGGTGAAGTTGAAATCGTTCCTTCGTAAATTTTATCATTCGCCATCCCCAGTAGGTTGACCGTTACGAAATATCCGTTTCACAGATGACAACGGGTATGTTCCAATAGCTCTTCAACTGTTTCGGTACTTATACATCCCTCGGATTTCAAATGTTTGGCATTGAGCGTTCCTGATGAAGGTAAATCCAGAAAAGCGCTTCGGACGCATGGAATTATTAAA